TCATTACAGAAACACATGACCAAGAAGATCCTTACTACTGAACAATTATTCCTACCACTAAAGCTGGGAAATAGCATGTCCTAGCAGTAGTGAGTATGTATAGTGCTACCTTACTTCAGTTTAGAATGATCCTGGGTTGGAAACGTGTTCTTATGAGGCTGGTAGTGAAGGTCAACCACTGATGAGTGCCAGCAGAAGGCAGCAAATGACCTGTGCTACTATAAGCCACATACATTCCTTGCAGCATATACCTGGGAGCCAGTGGACTAGAGCGTACCTTTAATTGTAAACAATATGTCTACTTTCTACAATGAATTAATTACTGTAATGACCTCTCAGGAAGTTTCAGGGAGCCTGGGCTGTAGATGGGCAGATCTTTATTAAAAAGTGATATCTCTGGCCAAGCAAGGAACACAACCAGTTAATTACATGTTTTAATATTCCTTGTCTTGCTGATTGTAATCTCACAAATTATTCCATCTATTTTCAGACTAAAAAGAAAATTAGCCATGGTTCAGAATCCAGGATTAAACACTTTTCAAGTTGTTTTCAACAATTTTGAGATGGTGTTTGTTGATTGCGTAATTTAAGTATAAGCATCTCAGGTGGGATGAAAGATAACTCATTTCACATTCTTCATTAAATGAACAAAGAGTAATCTAGTAATAACATGCCTGCGATGAGATTATAGATGCAGTAGGAAACAACATATTATTATAGGAATTCTTTGTTGTTTCATTACTATGGATATTGTATCACATTGTGTTGATGGGGAGTAATTAGCTCGGAGTATACAGGCAAACTAGCGTAAAGGAAAAACATAATGTTTTACATTTTTGTTTTGCCTTTTTTGTTCATAATCTCATTCTTTAGTTCTACTAATGCTAAAACGCTTTTTTTAAAAATGTATATGCTTTAGGCTGGTTCAGTGAGCACAAGAGGTCTGGATGTCAGGGCTTATGCACAGGGGCATAAAAAACGCTACATTCAGATTCATGCAGCATAAAGTTTTTTTATGGATCTGAACACAGCAGCATTGTATATTATAGGCCCTTGCACACAGCTGCGCTGTGCTCTATAATCATGCACTGTGTTCAACTGTGTCACAGTAAAACAGTCTGCATCTGCGGTCAGTATTTCCACGTAGTATATGTTTGTGCATGTATATGCTGCGATTGAAAATTGTACTAGAGCAATAGAAGGCGCATTTTATGGATGTGTACGCTTTATAGACATTTACTCATCTAAATGCATGTAAACAGAAGCACTTTATTGACCATTACAAGTGTTTGTTTGTTTTTGCGGGAACTTTTTGCTAGCTTCCACCAATATCCTGCGTCGATATCAATATTTTATTATGTCTGTGCGCATGAGCCCTAAGGCCCTGTTCACACCTTGGTGTTCCCTGATGAGCGTCATGTTCGTGTGTGTTTCATGTGCATTTTTTTCCGCATTTGCCACATGTTGCTCATTGGTTTTTGTTGTCTGCAAATAGTAAACAACTTTTTGTGCGCTACTAATCTCTATCCTGTCCCTGTCATGAATCCTGTCATAATTGTTTAACAACATTGATAGAAACTGTAGTGGTAGGAAAACCCTAGGTATGTCCACCAATGAGATTGGTTCTGCCAGGATTTGAAATGTTGCCATTGAGAGTATGTTTTTGAAGATGCAAATCAAGAAAGGTCATCATATTTTTTCTTGCACTATACAGAGGATTAGGACCTTTGTCAGGTTTTTTTTAAAACTGCTTTCTTGATCCTTTTTGGGAAGTTTTCCCTACATTTTCTCAACTGGTGTTCATTAATGGTCCATTAACAGCGTCTGATGTGCGTTGCCCAAGCACAGTGCTGAAGCGCTGATCCCAGCGCATCGCACTGTGTACTTTTTTTGTTAGAACTTTATGGAAATGTCACAAGTGACATTCCATTCAGTTCTACGGGCACACCAGGGTGCGAGGTGGTTGTATCGCGTCACATCCCACTGTGTTGAAAAAAAAGTAAGGCATGCCTTACTGGTGTAAATGGGCACCATCATTGACAAGGCAAATTGCCATGTCTTGCAATGCGACTGTGCTGGAAATAACAGCCAGTGCAGCTCCAACGCAGATGGTGTGAATGGGCCGAGATGTTCTGGTAAATCTCCATAGGTGCAGACAACAATGATCTAACAGGCTCTTACCCGTCTCCCTTATTTTTCAAAATGTACAAAATTAAATACCGTATTTGTCGGCGTATCAAATGACCCCCTACTTTTTGTGTTAAAATATAGGTTTTGGGCTATACTCGTCGTATAAGACGAGTATAGCCCAAAATAATGTTTAAATGCACCCACTAACATCCATGGCGGTATTCCCGAGTGTGGCTTGGGGTTAATTTTCAGTACCATAAGCGGTAACCCCGAGCCACACTCGGGATTACAGTCTCTTGCCTTGTCCACGATCCCCGCTGTGTCCTCCATCTTCCGCTGAGTCAATCACAGCAGGCTTTGTATTAATGAATACAGGCTTTGTATTGATTAATACAAACCCTACTGTGATTGGCTCAGCGCCGTGCCAATCACGGCAGGCTTTGTATTAATGAATACAGGCTTTGTATTGATTAATACAAACCCTACTGTGATTGGCTCAGCGCGTTATACTGTATGTAGCTGGAGTATATGTATACAGTATACCGCATCCTTCCGTATGTACCTGGCGTATAAGACAACCCCCGATTTTCGGAGGATGTTTTAAGGTCTCAAAACCCATCTTATACGCCAGCAAATACATCGTCCGTGTGGGACTTTTTTTTTTTTCTTCTTCTTTTTTTTTTAGTTTAACACCACATCAGTTCAGTTTTTTTTCCTTAGCTATCCAAAATAATGCTACCTCTTCTGTAGGCTGAAAAAATATTAAACACTTGCATGGTCAAGTAAAACAAAGTTCTGGAAAACTAGTCTTTCATATTTTATAACGTAAGAACAGTAGCTTTCAAACAAATCATCCAAAATTCATGTGTTTTCTTTCCCCTGTGTCATTTAATTTAAGTGAGGCTGGTGACTTGTCATGCATATTTTTTGTAAAGTGAGAACATTTCATCAAAAGTGGTTGAACCTTCTCTGATGTTAAAAATGTAAGCCATTGTTTATAGAAATCACACCTTGTATCAATGGTCATATTCAAATATTGAGTCTAAATGATTTTAACAAGAAATTGTTTTATAATTGTAAATTGCAATTGTAAATTTCTTAGAAAGTCAGTCCAAAAATATGGGCAGAATAACAGGAAGAGCAATAGACAAAAATGTCAAAAAAGTTTGTCTTTTGCATCGTTCAAAATATTTTCACTAATTTATTTTGTCCTATTCATCCTGAATACAGAGACCCTAAATGTGCATTTGTGCTGTATAGGCAAAAATGGGTATTTATTAGATTTTAAAATATTAAACATTTCTAGTACAATAACTGTAATTCACTGACCTGCCTGGAAAGACATTTTTTTTACACCAAAGCCATCATGAACAGGTAAAAAAAAAGGGATTAGAATGTATTATTTTAATAAATATTTATAACTAGGTTCAAAATCATGTGTGCTTTCTAAACAGTGGAAAACAAGGATTCCCAAAATTGTAATTAGGCAGTGCATTATTAACCTTTTCATGTCGGAGGTATGGCTTTTTGGCCGCAATTCTTCCATGAAGACCACTTCTGGCCATATGTGTACCTGGGTCCCACTGGTTTCAGCCAGTTCTGTGCCGATGGCACCGCTTCCGATATCGAAGGGAAGTAAGCATGGTGTGTCTTTCATCTGCTGCATTACGTTTCCTTGGCAAACCACTACATCTACGGCTCTCAACGTTGACCGTGTCTTTGTGCGTCTTCAAAAGAGCTTGAACATCACATCTTAATACCCCAGTCTGCTTTGAAATCTTTGCCTGGGAGAGACCTTGCTGATGCAGTATAACGACCTTGTGTCTTGTTGCTGTGCTCAGTCTTGCCATGGTGTATGACCTGTGACATGAAACTCTTCCACAATCTCACCTTGGTAGCGGAGTTTGGCTGTTTCTCACCCAGTTTTAAGCCTCCTACACAGCTGTTTCTGTTTAAGTTAATGACTGTGTTTCAATCTACCTATGAAATTGATGGTGATTAGCGCCTGCTTGATATAATTGATGCTGGGTAGTCACACCAAATATTGATTTGATTTCGATTTTTCTTCTGTTCACTCACATTGCATTTTGTAAATTGATAAAAATAAACAATACAAATATATATATTATTAACGCAGTCTTCCTTTACAGCATTGCATATAGAACCATCAGCCAGCCATATCACTATATAATATATCAAAATTATCAGTGGAAAAGCAAGTAAAAATGTAACTATAACCAATATCGAAAGATAAGTAGAAGTAGAAACTATATAGTAGACCACAAAAGTATTAAATAAAAAAGAGAGAGGGGAAGAAAGAAGAGAAAAGAAAAAGAGGGGAGGGAAAGAAGGAACGGAATCCGTGCCTCATGCCCATAGCATATTTACCAGTTGTCAGGGAGTGCCCAGGGTATTAAGGTGGCCATACACTTTACTTTTGTCTTGCGAGGGTTGTAAAATTATTTAAAAAACGTACAATCTGCCCATCTTGGACAGACAGATCCTACTTGCGACCATCGCAAGCCCGTCCCCCTGAGTGGCGGGTTTCCGATGACTGCAATGCAGAACGGGCAGTGTGCGCGTTCGACAACCGGCCTGTTCGGCAGTTAGTGTATGGGCACCTTTAGAGTTGAAGGATTTCCAAGGGGACCAAGTCTTATCGAACCTGCACATAGTATTCTTTAGTCTAGCCGTGAGACATTCCATATTTTGGATATCCTGGGTAGGTTGCATTAAGTCAAGTCAAGATAAGAGGGTGGGTTCGGTTGCCGCCGTTTCAAGGCTGTCGGACATCTAGTCACCGTAAGCATATGGTTGATCAACTTTGTTGGTGTCTTAGATATATGAGAAATGGGGAGACCTAAGATGAGATGAACAGGATCATCCGGGATCCCTGCATCCAGCAACCCATTGAGCAAAGATACCACCTGCTGCCAAAAAATGAAAATTTTAGGACATTCTCAATAAATGTGGAAAAGATTGCCAGTGTCTCTAGAACATCTCCAACAGGTAGAGGGAATGTTGAAGTTAATGGAAAGCAGGAACTTTGGAGTGTGATACCAATGGTCTAGAATCTTATATTGGTTCTCCTGATAACGGGAATGGAGAACGGGAAAATCTTATAAATATCCGAGATCAGGTGTTTGTGTGCAGAACCCTCCAAACGCAACCACTCAATCTGTCTCAACTTAGCGAAAGTTAAAGTGGTAGAAACCTTATGTGCAAAGTAATTTTTAAATAGGAAAATAAGGAATGCAAAGGGAGTTTAAATTTAACATGTAGGTCAGAAAAGGTGAGAAGGGTCCTATCACTCTTATTGATTACATAAGGAGCAGTCTAAGCAAGACTGAGCAACCCGCAGATCAAGAGTCGCTGCTAGGGTCAAGTTAAATAGAAAGGAGCACATCGGGGGAGACATCAGGCTAAATGTATTTCTCGAATACAATCAAATACTCTGCCTTATATGCGAGGGAGGTGGTGACTATAAACATAACTATAAGCTAGCATTAAGAGGTAAATAATAGAGGAATAACATGAGTCGTGTCCAAACCCCCAATCCAACTATGGCCACTGCCAATACAGGGAGATTAGTGACCATAAAGACCGATGGAGGAAAGGGGTGAATGGACAGGGTCTCAACTACAGGAAGTGTCATCACTTAAGAGTACACATTTGGTTCTGGAATGGTTTAAAATGGGGGAGTGGCATAAAAGATTAAATCATCCACAATAGCAATAATAGGAAACGTAAGATCAGATATTATCCCAGAAACCATTGAAGAAAAACAAGCTAAACTAAAAGGGGGAGAAGCCCAGGGCAGGGAAGCAAAGGATCATAAGGGGCAGTAATTGATCATGAAGGAATCGTAAGAACACAATGTCATTCATGTGGCGTTCCCTGGGATCAGGGGCACTTTGATGCAGGTGTGGTTTTACTCCCAAGTGAACAAATACATTTTTATCATGGTATTTTTTTAAAATAAACTTTGGCAACACCACTGTTCACTGCCATGGGAAAATGTAATAGTTTCCTAAATAATTATGCAAAATTAAGGTAATCATTAAATGAATCTTTTTCAACACAGCCATGCTGGGTTAATGTGATCCTCAAATAGTTTTACCATTTATATCAAAGTCAAGTTTCCAGAAACCGTAACAACACAATTTCCTGAAGTGATCAGAATAAAGGTTGCTGCGATTTGTCAGTTTGAACAACACTGCAAAGCCATGTCTTAGGACAGCACAAAACTAAAGTGAAAGCCACAAATGCCAGCCAAAAAACATGTGCAGTACTCAGTTTTTTAGGCGGGATGACCCCCACAAATGCCTCCAAAGGTGTAGCATAAAAACATGCCAAACGTCAGAGATGATTCCAAAAGAACATCCAAAAAAAAAGCAGGCTTCTCTTCCTTTATTAAACATCAATGTTCGTAACGTCACAGGTAGACGAGAGAAAAATGTGAGAAACCACTTGCTAACCGAGCAGATCTTAAATGCTTGTTTCTCATTTACAAGGAAGCACTTGGTTGATACTTTTTTTGAAGAATGTTTTATTGTCAGAAATGAAAAAGTGGATATTTTAAATACATGGGTTACTTTTTGTCTTTTCCAAAATCTAATCAACAGTCTGTGACAAGAATATAATGCCAACAGTAACTTAAAGTAGAAGTACTGGCCTAAATAAATTAAAAAAACAAAACTGCAGCAAACTGAGCTTAGTTTGGTCATAAACCAGGAATCTAGTAAATAAATAGTCTACCTTAGAAATACTGAAATTACTTTCATTTTTTTAAAAAAATTCCCAGCCTGTTTCCGGTATTAAAGGAGAACTATGGGGTGAGTAACGCTCAATCACCATGGTTAGAGCCGACGTGCGACATTTTAACTGTCACAGGTCAGCTCTATTGACCGCCGCTCGCTCACTCCCCGATCATCTCCCTGCAGAGAGTGGGGACTTTCGGTTACCGCTCCCCGCAGGGATCCCACCCCCCTCTCTGGGGATGGACGGGGGAGGGGGCGAGCATAACTGGTTCTGCCTGTAGATTGACAGAGGGCTCTGTCTATCAGCCAGCGGGGTAGATCTTGACCGTTTCGTTGGCATCTGTCCCGCTGCAGCGCGCTCAGCATATAGCAGGCAATAGCCCGCTATATACAGAGTTTTGGGTCACGGTAGAACATTAGTATATGTCCTCCCTTAACCCTAAAGAGAACTATGAGATGAAAAAGTTACCCCATAGTTCTCTCAAGTTGAGAAGTACCAGAACAAGATACTTTTATTTTTGTAATGTAAAGGTTTTTACATATGAAACAGTAACTCCCATATTTTAACTTTTTTTTTTTCTGCAGATTTATCAGACTGTGATTTGACTGCTTTCCCAATTGGTATATTCTTGTCTCTGAAAAACGTTTCTGGTAATATCTCCTCCATCTCTTTGGCTAATAATGAACTAAAAAGTCTGCCGGGTAAATTCTTTACTACTTTTCAGAACTTAGAAGGTAAGTGACGTTTACTTTGATTTTGAAAATATCATGTTGTTCTTCAAAAAAAGACAAAATAGCAAATAAAGTGTAATTACCTTCTCCTTTTTGCAAACTGTATATCTGCATAAATACCTTGGTTGTCACTGCACCATCATATTTGTGTTGGATCAGACTATTTTAGATTTCTTATTTACCATAGCCTGCGTTAAATATAAGCAGCATTTCAGTGCATCAACAGGCATATTTCCAGTAATGCTGCTATGTAGAGAGCTTCTACTGAGCGCATTGTTGCTATACTTACATGGTATTGTGGTTTGTACTCCTGAAATACTTGCTACTTCATAAATACTTAATACATAATACTTATGCAACTAAGCAGTAGAGGTGATACGCTAACCTGAGGTCTTAAGAAAACAAAGTGATTAGCAAAAGTTCCCCATCGGATGCATTATATTTTCTGTGGACCTAACATTTTAGAACAACTCTGAAAACTTATTTGTTTCAAAATTTGAATGTAATATCCGTTAGCTGCTATGTAAATCATAACAAAATGTATAAATGTGTTGTATATAATCATATTCCTCAGTTACATTATTGCAAAGAAGCATGACATTGCTCTGCTTGCAATTTTCCATTAAAGCATGTGAAACAATTGGTTTCCTCTTTTATTTTATTTTCCCCTATACGCTGCGCTCATATATTCTGTGTTGGCTGCTAAGTTTCAAATAGTACTGGACAGGCCGAGGGGACAGTCACAGTGTGGATGACAGACAGCCATAGATCAGAGCAGATCTGTGACTGCTATTTGAGAATAAGTCATTTACGCCACATTCTGCTGCACTATAGTCTGTATCCTGTGGAACGATGGTGGGGAGATGGATAGAGAGAGACCCTGGTTTTTAGTCCAGTTTGTTCTCTGTTTAATGACTGTAGCACAAAGGGCAGCCACATGCAGAATAGCTTCTTTGAAGCCAGTGGGGATTTTCACAGGTCTGTTGCTGCCCTACACACAAATAAAGAGTTGTAGTATATCACTGTACTGCCCCCAGATCAGGAAACATTTCATTCATGTGCACAGAGCTCCACCTCCTTACTTTAGTGTGTTGTGAGTGGTGCAGAAATCTGGAAGTTCACCATACACCCAGGATAAAGCCACCTGCCACCTGCATGAGGCATAGATGAGGCTGTACTCAGTTGTAAAGCAGGATTCATACTGTAGTGTTGCACAAATGCTGCACACTGATTCTAATTCATGCGCAGTTGCAATTAGGTCCATCTACAACATTCTACAATGCAAAAATAGGGGCTTCAAGGCACACCAAAAACCTTTCAAGTGTGTATTCAGCCTCAGTACTTAATTATTTCAGTAGTTGCAGTACCCACTATTACTGTCACTTCAATATCACTTAATCCTGTCTCCACTTCCGGCCATGAAATGATGACCGGAAGAACAAGAAAACAGTAGGCAATATACACAAGCCTTTTCATTTTATACCTTTATACCTTTACCAATGTCTTATATTTGTATCATTCATAAAAAATCTTATTTTTACCAGTAAATATTGAATTGACTTGTAGCAAATAAAAAGTAGGTGTTATCTCAATTTAGCTGCAAAACTGGAAATACACTTTTAAGGATGTTTGAGATGCATCTTTCTTCTCAAAACCTGACAGGTTTAGTTAATGTTGCTATGCTGGCTTCTCTAAAGTCCGTCTGCTTGAAAAGCTTCTGTGGTCACCAAATTTTGATATCTAGTAGATGGCTTACAGCCATGTAAAAAATGGGGGAACCCAAGGTAGAAGTTGGATGTATCAACAAAACATGTCAAAAAATAAACTAAATTTATACAATGGTAAACACTTCCTGGCTTGTCAGCTGTTATCTCTGTGTTCTAAATGAATATGGAAGAAAAAACAGGTTCCCACTTGACTACACATCAGAATTCAGCTGAGAAACCATATGATCAAATAAATATTCTTCAACAAAACTGGCATAAAGTATAAAAAAAATCTATTTATTTCAAGAAAATGTATAACCATGATTTACCAAATGTGCACACATATACCCCCTCCCCAACATTAACAAAACCCCTCCCTATAAAAACTCAACGCATGTAGGACCAGTTGGGTACCTGATATGGGCCTATATAGAAAAAATTCATACACAAGTCCTGTGTTAAAAAATAAACGATATCCGTGTGGTGGGTGGTGTTATAGGTAATGGATGTAATGTAGTCTAACTGTTGGGTATATGATCCAATATAAGGTATCGGAGATAGGTGAATTTGTATACACTGAAGAAAGTCTCAATAGACATGGTTATAGACGAAGGTGAGTTAAGCTATGTGTCCTGAGGTCCTTCTTGTGGACGCACTTTGCTACACATTATATAAGTACTATCCTTGTCGCACTCCTTACCGATATGTCCCTTGTAGTGGGGGGTGCTCGCAGTGACTGCGGATGGCGCCGCGAATGTCAGCAAAATTGTAGAAATTTCACCAGCACACCAGTCCTTTTAAGATAGCAAAAGCTTCATTTATTGAAGTTTTTTGTCATATGACCAAACAAGCGCTTTCGGGACCGCACAGGATCCCTTCATCGTCAATGCTAAAGCCTGATGAAGGGACCCTGTGCGGTCCAGAAAGCGCTTGTTTGGTCATATGACAAAAAACTTCAATAAATGAAGCTTTTGCTATCTTAAAAGGATTGGTGTGCTGGTGACATTTCTAA